GCGGGGGGGGGGGGGCGCGGGGGGGCCCCCCCCGACACTCATTGGGTGCCGGCGGGGCAGGGCGGGGAGGTTCCGGTGCAGTGTGAGCCGAGAGGCGTTTCCGGAAGCGGGAATGCTCTGCGCCCGAGGCGAGGGCGCCTGGAGATTGGTGCTCGGTTGTGGGGTGATGGGTTTGGGGAGCGAAGCCCACCCTGCGTTCCTGGGCTCTTTGGCGCGTCCTCCGCACTGTCCCCAGAGTGGATGCGCGACGTGATCAATCTCGCTGCATTTATTAATTCTCCCGTCTAGACAGCGGAGAAGGCCGGGGCGGCTTCTTATCTACGTTTGGCATCACCTGCAAGCGATACACTGAAGGAGCCACAACAAGCCCCCGCTAGGATCGCGGCTGCAGGAGAAAATAAGTCCACCCAGAACCAGTCTGGCGTGTCCTTGGTTTATTTTCTTTCCAGGCCCGAAATGGAGGGGGCGGGGGATGGCCCCTGGATATGTCGTGCCCAGGTCACTTGGTGTGACATTTCAAACCCCTGCGACTTGTTTTCTTGAAAACTGGCTTTAGTGATCGCAGGAAATAACCAAGAGATACTGAATCTCCACCAGGCCCCCGGGCAAGCATTGGGAAAAAAATCCCGGCAGGCTCAGGTTTTACCCTCTACAAATATTTAACCCTTTGGCAGTCTGGGACAGTTCTTTCCCAAAGCAAGCCTCCTGCCCTCCCTTGTCTGGTTCAGAAAGCTGCCATCTACCAGCCAACCCACCAATCCTGCAACAATCTGACATTTCTGTTTCTCTGTCCCCATAAGGCATCCCTCCATTCCCAGTTTTTGTTGTTGTTTGTTTGTTTTTTGTTTTTTGAGTGTAGTACATTAACGGGCTAGGGGACAGTTACTATCCTAGCTTATAGGTAGGGACTGGTAACAAATGTGCCCAAAGGGCAGCTACAGTCCAGGGTAGAGGAGTAGAAACAGCTGCTAGGGCAGTCCAGCAGGTTCACACCCATCCATCCCATAGTACCAATTAAAGATGGAAGGCTTCCTGGCAATTACTGAAAATGAGAAGAGGTGGGAAAATCGAACCACGTTTATAGTTCACTTCCTGAAGTCAAGGTGATACTAGCACTTAAAAGGGAGGAGGGACATTCCCTTTCTTGGAGATTAGGAAATGGTCTGCAAATGTAGAGATAAGAGAGAGATACATATATACAGAGTTAATTAGGGCCAGCTTTACCTCTCAAGGCTGGTTCTTTGAGGCGTCACTCCCTTAACTTAGACCATTCCCTCCCAAGCAGAATACAGATTTCCCCTTTTTGCATGTGAGTGACTATTGGATAGGAAACAAAACTTCAATATTTCTTACTTTTGGAAACTTAGGATTGTCACAACATTGGGTTTTTACTTTTTTATTAAAAAGAACGGTTCCTAGGGAATTTCATTATTAGAGCTGAAATTTTGCTTTTGAAAGGGTGCAGTATTTTACAAACATGTACATACCTAGTTACTTCGATCTTTTCCCTCACCATTCATACCTTAAACAAACATCCAGTTTGACTTGTGTGTGCCTCTTATTACCTTGGGACTTTATCCAGGTAAAAGTGGTCACTGTGCAGTAAGATGTATGAGACATCACAGACTTTCTCCTGTTACCCAAGGAGTGTGTAGTGCTCTCAAGTTCCCAGGGGAAAGGCTTGCAATGTCCTTGGCAAGGTATCAGATCTACAGTTAGTTACATTAATAAATATCAATTTTACTGGTTCCCAGGTCATCTTTTAAACATCATTTGTAATGAAGTAGGGATTTCCTGGTAAATTAGATTACCTATGACAATTACAACTTTTGTACTTTCTGCTAAGGTTCATCAGGAGTGGTAAAATCTCAGTTCAAGGGAAGAAGCTACAGATGAAAAAAGAACTATTTAACGTGATTCACTTCCAGAATAAGATTTTTTTTTTCAGAAGACTTAACGAATTATTTGCTTAGCTCTATAAAATGAAGGCAGGAAAAAGATCCCAGAGACAGATTTTTGGCTACACAATTTGGTACATGTTGTAAGGCCACACAATTCTGGGAAATTCAGAATCCTTGTGGCAGTATTCCCAATGAATTTTGATATTGAATGACTGTGGGACAGAAATCAGCCTTTCTGTTTTGAATATGGAGTTAAGTTAAAGCTCAAGCTTGTCAGAGATGGGAAGAGCTGGGTTTAAATGACACATTGTTCTAACACTGCCCTTCAAAAATGTGAGGCTCTGCCACTTTTGCCTAGGGGTGGGCTCACACTGCCAAGCAGTTAGTGGTGGCCACCGAAAGGGAGAATTAGCTGACTAGAAGCCTGCTGGAGGGAGAAAAACAATGGATGAGTAAGTATTTGCAGAGAAATAAGTTCCCAGTGGAGCTTCGATAAAAGCAGGAAATCCAGAGTTTATTAAGCTGATGCAGGGAAGATTAGAGGCTTTTAACCGTGGGTCTGATTGATGTAAAAGTAAACTTTCTTTAAACTACTGAGATTCAGGGCTATAATGAGGATTGTGTGACCAATTGCAGGCTAGCACCTTGTTGATGGAGACTGTGCATAGAAAATGCAGATAAACAGAGCTGGGTTGAGAGTAGTGATCAAGAAGGGCATGAGGAAGTACTCCACTCAGATCCAGATGTGGGGCTGGGCAGCTCTGGGTCCGAGCTGCTTCGTGCCTTCAGTGGCGATCCCCAGCCAGGCAGGAATGCTAGGTGGGTCCAGCCTTTGGCCACACAACCCCCTGGTCAAGATGGTCGGCATTTGGGGGGAGAGTGGGTCAGCACGTGGACTCCAGTGTTTGCCAAATGGGAGGCTGTATATGTAAATGAGGTGACTACGGAGACTGAGTCCTGGCCCTGGAGCTGAAGCGGATGAAGTGCTCTGAGAGGGGGAAGATTGGTGACCTAGAGGACAATGTCCTTTCTGACAGCCACCAGGAAAGATGCAGGTGTTTTTCACAGTGAGAAACACAGAGGTTAAGGTTAGGGCCGGGTCTTGACCTAGGCCCTATGGAGGCCGAGTTCCGGGTTCAAGGTCATACTGCCCAGGAAGGCCAGATATGGAGGGGCGGGGGAGGGGGACAGCTATGGCTGAGAACCCGGTAGGAAGCCTCAGCTCTGATGTGCCCTTGGGCTAGCTCTGTAGAGCTTGGGAGTAATTTTGTCACCCCAAGGTGCGCAATTTGGTTGCAAATGTTCCGGCTACTGGGCTGCACTCGTTTCACGTCGGGGTCGAATTCTGGGCTCATGGTAGGGGCCGGCGGTGTGTCCTGACCCAGGAGGAAGCCGCCGGCACCGAGACTATTTGGGACGCTTCCTACCGAGGGGCAGCCGGACCATTCGATTACATGTCTAATTGCGAATTCTGGTCAGCTTTTGGAGGTTAATCACGGCTGTCTCGATTATTTACGGCTTTTTGGCAAATTTCCGAACAGATAAGAGGTATATTCCATCGCGAAGCGTCTCGCACGAAACCTTATAAATACTTGATGACTCCCCCCGGCCTCGGGACGCCCTCCACCGTTGCCCGTCTCCGTACGGGCAACCTTGGGTGTCCCTCCCTCCAGGGAGAATGGGGTGTGTAGAGTCCGGGGCGGGAGCGCCCTTGATGGCGCTGGGCATGGTTGACATCAAACCTTTTATTTTCTTTCGATTTGTAAAACAGTAAAAAATTGAACACATATAAGTCAGCAGCGCCGTGAAGTTCCCAAAAGAAGTGCCCGGAATATTAGGTAAGTATGTTTTGTTGTTTGTCTTTTTAAAGAAAGGTAACATTTCTTGTGTTGCTCAGCTTCTTGTGACAAACTTTAGGTTTTCCGGTCAATTTCCACAGCCAGTTCTTTTTCGGTAGTTATTACCAATGTCACTCAGGCTCAACACAGGACGGCTAAGGAGACACAGGCCAGCCCCCCTCCTACCGCCCAGACAGAACTCGATGACGCCTTATGTTCAGAGACATGGCCACCCTCATTGTGTTTCTTTTACGTCCATGTAGTTGCAAATAAATTATTTAAGAAAATACTTGATGCTCTCAGGTTTTTGAAAATTTATTTTAGACGCTAAATTTAGGTCAGTAACATTAATAGTTCACAGTGCTATCTATTTCCCAGGGAAGTTCCCCACCAGTGGCTGAGAACAGTCAAACAGTCAAACAGT